ATAATAACCAACATTAGCATTCAGATCGCAACCCTGTTATTCTTAACAGATTCTTACTTTACTAAACGAACCAGATTCTTTAAAATATATGGTGGTTAGTTTTTCCTCTACTAAAACAGTGTTAATAATTTCCTTTATAGAAATGCCATGGAATTTAGATTAAGAGATTCTTGTCATCTCCCTCATGCTATCAGTTCAGCTGTATCAAGCATCATTATTTATACTAATTGCTTAAGCTAATATCGTGTGACACTAAACCTGTAAATTTGTGCTGAAAAGTTGGCAATGAATAATCAATACTAATAACCATCCTCCCGTATGATTTTTTTAAAACTTGAGCTGGAAACTGCTAATCTAGTTTGCTTGGCCTAACCAATACTTATGTGTCCTTTCACATTATAGTTTTGCTGCTCTAATTCAGCCGAATAATAAAAAAGTAAAAACAGTCCACTTTTACTGTTAGGTGAAGCTATATTAAAAATATTAGACCAATAGCTCACGTGACTTTTTTAGTAGGCATGCATAAAAATTAAATTTGAGCAGTTTTTGTTGAATAATTTTGCACATGTGGCTTTTACTTACACCAAATGAAACACCTAATTGTAGGTTATAAAGATCTATCAGTGTGCCAAGTTTGGAAAAATATTGATAAAAGTTAAGTATGTTTTTCTATCAAATACATTTCCATACTATTGGTGTGAAAAAAAGAGGAAGAAACTCAATTAAAATTGGAGATGTTATATCTGAGGTATTTCTTAATGGACTGCCTTGAAATTTGTGATAGTCTGGATTATCACAGTCCGAGCTACAGAAGGTGGAAAATCACTAAACTACCACTCCTGTTAATAACACACAGTGTATCCCACAGGTTGTTTTTTTTGGCTGCAAGACACACTTCTATGTGTCTTGATTCAATAGTGATGTTCTAGGAAACTAGAAGGGGTGCTGAAGAAATAACTAAAAATGTTAAAAACTATTACTTACTTCTTTCATTGCTTGATCCTTCATATTCTCTAAGTCTACACTTCCTTCATATGTTAAGTAATAAAACACATTTGTTGCACGAACAGCCTCTGGACCTAAAAACACAGCAGAAACACACTTATTCGGCAGTTGTGTGTCAAATCAACTGAACAATATTAACTCTATCTTACACATCTACATCAACAATTAAAACAGTTACACTATGGAGTACAACAACAGCTGAATTTGAGTACAGCAGTAAAACAGGCAGGTGTACAAACAACACTACAGGCGGAAAACAGGCTTGTGTATACGTAACACTACAGGCAGAAAATAGGCTTGTGTACATGTAACACCACCTATACGGTTACCCGTACACCTGCCTGTTTCCCACCTGTACCATTACCCATACACCTGCCTGTTCCCACCTGTACCATACACCTGCCTATTTCCCACCTGTACCGTTACCCATACACCTGCCTGTTTTTTGCCTGTAGTGTTGCTTGTACACCTGCCTAATTTCTAACTGTAATGTTACATGTACATCTGCCTGTTTTCTGCCTGTAGTTACCCGTACACTTGCCTGTTCCCACCTGTACCATTACCCATACACTTGCCTGTTCCCACCTGTACCATTACCCATACACTTGCCTGTTCCCACCTGTACCATTACCCATACACTTGCCTGTTTCCCACCTGTATCATTACCCATACACTTGCCTGTTCCCACCTGTATCATTACCTGTACACTTGCCTGTTCCCACCTGTACCATTACCCGTACACTTGCCTGTTCCCACCCGTACCATTACCCATACACTTGCCTGTTCCCACCTGTACCATTACCCATACACTTGTAGGTTCCAACCTGTACCATTACCCATACACCAGCCTGTTCCCACCTGTACCATTACCCACACCTGCCTGTTTTTCACCTGTATCATTACCAATACACCTGCCTGTTTTCCACCTATACTGTTACCCATACACCTGCCTGTTTTTGGTACAGGTGGGAACAGGCAAGTGTACAGGTAATGATACAGGTGGGAACAGGCAAGTGTATGGGTAATGGTACAGGTGGGAACAGGCAAGTGTACAGGTAATGATACAGGTGGGAACAGGCAAGTGTACGGGTAATGATACAGGTGGGAACAGGCAAGTGTATGGGTAATGATACAGGTGGGAAACAGGCAGGTGTATGGGTAATGGTACAGGTGGAAAACAGGCTAGTGTACATGCAACATTACAAGTGGGAAGAGGTAGAGGTACATGTAACAGTACAGATAGAAAAAAGGCAGGTGCTTCTGTTGTTTGATTAATGAGGCCTGAAATGTCCCCTGGTTCTGTGTGGGTAAAAAATCTACTGTTGGATTATATCAATGAAACCTTATCTATACTATGGTTCTTTCCAAGTAAGATGTCTGAAGCCTATTGTTGGGCTGTATTAATCAACCCTGAATTATCCTCAAGTTCTTCCTTGGTAAATTAGTATAAAGTATAATGTTGAGTTGTATTAATTAACTCTGAATTATCCTCTAGTTCTTCCTGGGTAAGTAAGTAGTATAAAATCTATTGTTGGACTGTATTAATTAAACCTGAATTATCCTCTAGTTCTTCCTGGGTGAGTAAGTAGTATAGTCTATAGTTGGTTTGTATTAATTAAACCTGAATTATCCTCTAGTTCTTCCTGGGTGAGTAAGTAGTATAGTCTATTGTTGGTTTGTATTAATTAAACCTGAATTATCCTCTAGTTCTTCCTGGGTGAGTAAGTAGTATAGAGTCTACTGTTGGTTTGTATTAATTAAACCTGAATTATCCTCTAGTTCTTCCTGGGTGAGTAAGTAGTATAGTCTATTGTTGGTTTGTATTAATTAAACCTGAATTATCCTCTAGTTCTTCCTGGGTGAGTAAGTAGTATAGAGTCTACTGTTGGTTTGTATTAATTAAACCTGAATTATCCTCTAGTTCTTCCTGGGTGAGTAAGTAGTATAGAGTCTACTGTTGGTTTGTATTAATTAAACCTGAATTATCCTCTAGTTCTTCCTGGGTGAGTAAGTAGTATAGAGTCTACTGTTG